TTGAAAACAATTGTGTATTCTGAAAGCAAGAACATTTACTCGTTCTTTGCGACTCTTTAAAGCCAGGGTTGGTAGTTTCAAAAAACTAGCATGATTTTGAAAGTAGCATTCCCTCAGTGCTCCGTCTACACCCACCCCCACTAGGAAATGAGTTACCAATGAACAGCCCTAGTTTCACACGTGGGTAAGCTTCCTAAATGTGTAAAAGAATAAATCTTCTCATTTAATTCTAAGATAGACACTGTCTCGTACATATTTACCAAAATGTTGAAGTTTTCCTTTAACAGAATGCTATGATGTCGAAATGTGTAATTCTAAAGTGGAAATGTAGGTTAACTATGAATTAAGTAATCTACATGAACCCAAGGCTCAGGCGCTGAAAATACGACTGTGAGAAGAAATCAAAACGAGCTTGAGGCCACACCGATTTAGAGATACAATTTGGCTAGTTCTAGTAAATGTGGAGGACGAGCTGCAGAGAGAGAGGAAGCTCAGGGGAGAAAAATCCAAATGATGAGGAACAAAGGCAGTTTTTCAGGATGTAACCTTGGATGTGGGTCAGCGTGCAGCAGCTGCCCTCCATCAACAGCCTGCATGACGCCGATGAAATGAAGCAGGTAGGTAAGAGACATCCGTTTCCATCTGACCCCATGCAGCTCAGCAACAACCTGTTCCATTAACTTTCACCATGAAACCAGAGGTTGGTCCTTGACAATCAGCACAAGGCGCTGTTCACCAGGCTATTTCCACACCACCGAGCCCACACCTATATTTCCTGCAGATGATTGGCAAACACTTTATACCGACCATTACATTTATTTTCCACGTTCATTAAAGCCTAGCGCCAGGATTTATACAGTATTTCTGTAACAGAAGAATTGCTCTGAAAGGTCATTAGGCTGTTCTTCTGTCTATGGAAGCCCATTTCTGCCAGTTTTTTTGAGTCGAAAGTGGAAATTATGAGATATAAAGTCATAATTATGAGATAATAAAGTCATAATTATGAGATAATAAAGTCAAATTATGTGATAATAAAATCATTACTATGAGATAAAAAGTGACATGCAGCAAAGGGGTCGACATCGGATTAGAACCCACGCCCGCTGTGATGACGACTATAGCCTCCATACATGAGGTGCACAACATAACAACTATGCTTTCTGTGTGTTAAGTGTTAATGTGTGTCTGTCTTCATCACAGTCATACTCGGCTGTCAGAGCCCTGCTTCAGTATCTGAACGCTCCCAGACCAGCCTCCTATTTCAGATCAGTGTTGCAGCATCATGGGCCTGTGTAGTCCTCATTGGTTTCCTGAACTGGAGTGTGTGTGTGGAAGGGGAGGGATTCAATTTGCTGCACTATGATCTAATCTGAGTCCAGGCAGGTGATAAGCTCTGCTGGAATACTGATGGCTTGCCATGGTTTCCGGAGGTAAGAGAAATAAAGCATGGCAATAAGTAAGTTTACCCGCTTGATGTCACTCATCGGCTGATAGGGACTGCTGAGGGACCAGACTCCGCTGATACACAGAATGATCTAGAGCTGACCTTGGGCCATGGATAGCTCGTATAATAGTCTGCTTCAAAAGCCCAGCCCCTTGGGATCACTTATGCGCCAACATTATCTGACTGTTTACATGTGCTGCAAAGCCTCAGCGCAAGGTTGAAAGAAAGAGAGAGATATCAAAAAGTATGTGCAGCTGCCCTCTCCTTTTGAGTGTCAGACGGAGCAGACTGTCAAGGTGTTGCTTGAAAAGTGATATATTATTGCCGTCATTAAAACGAGCCGGCTGAACAGTAATATGAGAAAGTAGTTTATCAAGCGGCGGGTGGATCCAGTTCTTTATCCACACGGCAGCGGCGTCTGAGATGCTTGGCAGAGCGTGTGAATCGTTCTGAATGTAGATATTAATCAGGATGCGGTGTTAGACAGCTGCCACCCTGGGAGCCCGCAGACTCTGGTGTCAAATCCCCCTTCAGTGATCACAGAAGGAGAGAGGGATACTCTGCTCTGGGAGAGTGCGTCCCCCAAGCATCACACAGTTCGCGACTGATGTTTTGGCAGATGCCCTTGTCAAAAAAAAATAAAAATAAAAATCATAACGCAAGCTGCTGGTGTGAATCAGACCAATCTCCTGTGTACTGTATCTGACAGAGGTAGCAGATGTACATTGGAAGTACCTGTTGTGATGCTGCCCAGTGGGACTATCACTGTAATGTGCAGCGTGAGAGTTATAGGTAAAAGAGGCCCTGTGCAAAAAGCTAATCTTGCAAGTGGAGAGCCAGAAGAACAGGAAGAGACACAGACTTGAAAGTTGATAGTCTTAGCTGTGGGGCAGACATTAATTTAGTGGAGGCTTTATGACCACATACTGATCGATAGCACACCTAGATGGAGTGGGGGGGGACTTAATTGTTCTCTGTGCCTCTCATCACTTCAGAATGCATTTGAAAATCCTTCTATTCATAGGCAGGCGCTAGGGTTGGACTTAATTGCCTTCCATGTGTGGCAAGGTAAGAGATTAAAAGTCTGGCGGCATTGCAGAGAACAAACAGATTTACCATCCCAATTTGTCAGAGACGGGGCTGATAAAAATAGAGCTATTCCCAAAGTCTTTGTGGTGAAAGAAGTGCTTCTTTTTGGTTCAAACGTATCCAAAGTAGGCATGTGTGCAATTAGTCGAGAATTACTAGTTTGATTACAAATAATTAAGAAATTGGCCCTCGATGCCGCTCAAATGTAGTGCTAAAACTGCAACGCAGCTGCCCGCCACTAGCAGGGGCTGTAGCTCAGGATAAACAGCCTGCTCTCTGAACTCTACTACCAAGATGTAAACAAGAACAGTGAATGGATAGCATCTCATAGGAGCAGTGCTGTTTGTAGTATTTTGAAAATTTAGATAACAGTGTATGCAGGCTGCGTCAGGTTAAAGCACCAGCATGAAACCAAAACAACTCGCGCTGCATTGTTGTGTTAGCATGCTAATGCTAGCGATCTTTATCATGCTGGTATCTTCACACTGCATGTAAATTTACCTGAAATGAGCGTGATCTAGAAACACAGTTAAGCAGTGAGTACAGTATGTTATTCTTCTTTTCTCTAGTCCCTCAATTAAACAACTTTTATACACGAGGGGAGGAGTCAGCCGGCCGTCCTGGCGATGTAAACAAAGTGAAGATAGGACTCTGAAAACGCTGAAAACATCACAGACAGTGGGACTCGGGTGTTACACCCATTGTAGACAGTCATGACTCACAGAGTTATTTTCAGAGGATATACTTGATTTCTACATTTCAGTGTGAAAAATCACATATAAAGCCTTTAAACTGGAATATGGAGCAAATAAATATGTAATGGTTAGTCTGATTTTAAATTGACTAGGAAATTATGTGCCTAGGAACATCCCTTATGAAAACCCTTGAACGCATATCAAAAGCTACAGATACATTTGTTTGTTTCATGAAGACAAACACCTGATATGTGCCTCAGTCATAAACTCCAGGGATGATACCTACAGATACTACAATCATACAAGAAAAATAAACAAAATGAACTCCCACTGCTCACTGTAGGATTTAATGAACCACAGTGGGGACCCTCTGCAGACTGTTTGTATTTCCCACTCTCCTCTCTGGGTTTACCCTGTTTGATATCCTGTGTTGAAATCACGTGGGTGTGATACATACAACTGTGCGTTTCGTCTTCCTGAGAACTCCCCTGATTGTGCATTAACAAATGCCATGAGCTAATGAAGACAGAAGAGGTGCACAATTAAAAACAGGGTTATAACAGCTGCTTTGACACGTACACAAACACCTCGAGGCAGTCTGGAGAGTTAGTTATGCATGCAGTCGTCGGAGACATGAGATGTTGTGTTAAACTGCTAGTCGTAGGTGAGTTAAATCTCAAAGGTCCTGATCTTTTTTTTCAAGTTCATTATAAACCTGAGGAAGAGGCTAAATTAGGAATGAAGCGCTTCCTTCCTACAATCTGTGTAAATGCATTATACATAACAATCTGTGTTTCTCTGAGAGACACATGAGAGCGTTGATGTTACTCCAAAGTCTGTGTTGTATGAAGTAGGTCCTGACTGTATATACAAATGGACAGCATGCTTCAGCCTCCTCCCGTTGAACAGGATGAGGCCAGAATATCCCTGTGTTGGGCGCTAACATAACGCCAATTTTTCAACCAGAGTCTGCACGGAGTGGATCGCCGTTGTTGTTTTGCTGTTCTCACCCAGATAAAGGAAACTTTTTTTTGTGGTGGACATAGACCCTTAGTCTAGATCCAGCAGATTTTGTCAAAATAAATGTAAACAGCCGGAGTCTACTCGCCTTGCTCTGACCTTTAGGTCTTTAGAATTAGTATTTAGTTTTATCTCTTTTATTATCAAGAAAATTTGCCCAAGGTAGTGAGCTTTCGAGATGATGTACTGTTGTTTTTTGCACCTTTAGTAAAAGTACAGATTTATAGTTATATTCTCTATCCGGTGTTTATGCTAAGCTAGGCTAACCAGTTCCTAGCTGCAGTTTGCAATGTGAAATAGAGAAGTTGTCTGATCTAATTCTGAACTTTTCTTTATCCTAAGCCTAACTGACCTTCTTAACGAATTGACCGAGGCTATCCAGAGAAGTCGCTAAATTGCTTCCATTAACAGAATCATTGATTGAAAATACATTTTCAATCACAGTTTCTGCTTTTTTGTAAGTTTTAATGCACACGTCACATTCCTGCAAACTTGGTGGCAGAATGGAAACTTCCCAGACAGACCTAATGACCATCTTCCAGCTCACTTCTTTTGCAGGCTATGAAAAACCAGACGAGAAGGGCAGCTCTGCCTCTCAGAAGCGTCCTGGCTTTTTACTATAACTAAATCTGCTCATTTAAACACTGCGTGTGAGCCTGGAGTTTCTTGGTGAGGGTGGACTATGACACACAGAGACACACTGACACACCCAGAGAGAAGTAGAATAAAAAAAGATGACTAACCTAACCCACCTGAGCTCGGCTCACAGGAATCAATGTCCTCATCATCGCTCGGACACTCGGCTGACGCCACCAGCAAGTCATCGGTTGTCTGAAAAAGAGAGAGAGGCAAACAAAAGAGCAGTGAGGGAATGTGATTGCTTAGCTGCACCAATGGGGGTAAGACGGCCCCCCAATCTAAACTGTCAATAGTGGAGTTTCCAGAGGGGTTAGGTTAAGGAGAGCGGCGTAGACGAGATGTGAATCCAGACAGCTCCGCCGTTTGGCTGCTGGATTTATCTGTCAACACAGTCACACGCCGCCTGGCACTGTAGCGGCTGCTTTCCAGGCAACGTTTTTTCCCTTGCAGAAATAAGATCTGATTATTGGGGAAGAGCAGTGGCTAAAGTTCACCACACAAATGTCAACTCACATGCTCAATTTGTGCTGCAGTGTGTGTCTTTGCATAGCCCTTCAAGGGATTGTTAAGAGCCATCACAAAACACCTCTGACATTTAGAGGACAAGCAGCCATGAGAGCTCAAAAGAGAGATTGGAAAAGAAAGGGCAGAGCGGCAGACGTTTAGAACAACATTTTTTCCCCCTTATTTCTCTCCATGTGATTCAGAATCTCTCCTACAGACGAAATAAACATAAAACCACACATACAGTATATATGTAGTGCTTCATTATTCTGCTGCCACGTCTGCTCTCATACTAAATCCATTGCAGACTGTTTGAAATGTACTTCCTCACCTGCCAAACACTACATTTCACCCTCCTCGGAAAATGGGAAAGGGCAAACAAAAGACTAGAAAAAAAAAAGAAAAAGTGCACTGTAAAACATTATACTGCAATGTTCTTTTATAGTCTTGCTTCAGGCCATTTGATCAGCTCTGCGTTAAAGGTCATTTCATTTAAAGCGTGGCAGCCTCTTCAGGGCCGGGGTAGATTTGCCGTTATGGAGCGCCCGCTAAGCAGAACAACCTGCCGCTATATATTTAGCCTCTTCACCTCTACTTATCCTTTTTTGTGCTAATATTTTTAAATCCTCAAGTGGATGTTTGACAATATTTATTTTACTTAAAGGTTTCAGACTCTGGGGTTTGCATTCCTGTGACAGTAATTAAATATCAAACGGAAACGGCGGTTTGAAAGGCATTAGGCTGCAAAGATGAAGACGGACCTGAGATTTTATTCAATTTGTGTTGTTATTTCTAATGTTTGAGTGTGCATCAAAAATACATCTGCAAGTTGGATTAGCATTGACTCATCCTAAAGAAATTAAAGGTGATGTCATGTTGTTTAACATCCATTTGGCTGCGCATAATGTGATTCTATTGCGACTGTAACATCATTTTGACATTCTGTACACGGACCAAAAAAAATCGTCTTTACATAATAGACCTGGAAATGATAGACCAAAGCCATTAAGGGAGTTTGTGGTGGTGGGCTGTTTGGGTGCATCTGCGCTGGGTGAGGCCCGGGGAAGCCGTCCAAATGTAAATTTAATTTGCTGTGCATGAGGCTGATATACAGTGTCGGCCATCCAGATGGCAAAACCGCCAGATCCTGGAGTGCCACATCCATCACTTCAGCCTTGTGATTTGTTTTTCCTGGCGGGAGATCTTGACACTCTGCACTCACTGGCAGAGGTGCAGGAATCAAGAAATCAATACTCCCTCTCTCTCGTCTTCCCACCTTACCACTGTCAGTCTCTTTCTCTCTCTCTCCCCTCTCGCACCCCCTCCTCTCCTCTGCTTTCAACTCTGTCCTTCAGATATATTTGCAAGCGGAGGAGAGGAAGCAATGTGACGTGGGTGTAAGAGATGTAGGTTAACTCCCTATAGAGTAACCTGAGTGGAGGTGTGTGCCCGTTCATATTTATATGTTTCAGTCTCCACAGTCGGGTCATAAAAAGCTGCGGCTCGATGCCTTCAGCTCCATCACCAGCGTCCAATCCAATAATGAATATGGATATCAGTTTATCTCCTTACAAGAGAGTCTTTGATCTCATAATTAAAGGTGCAGACATCAGAACCAGCTATTTATGAGATGAAATTACAGTTTATTTATTTACAGTTTCATCTAAACCTTATTTTTGTTGTTTGTACATGATTTGCAAAAGTGATGTATCTTGTAGCAGGTTTTCAGATGTGTGATGTTTTCAGTTTCCATACAGATCGCACGTCAAACGAGCAGTCAGCTGTCAATTGCAGCTTGGTATAAGAGCTCATTTCTCACAGTCAACATTAAAGGAGCAATATGAAACTTGGACATGTAGCATTTAAAATGGGTACTGCAGTCTAAATTCAAAACATCATAGAGAGCTGTCTCCCCCCCCGCCCCCTCCTCTCTAGACTCAATGCTCACTCAGGTCACCATGTGGTGGACACTGAAGCTTCAGTGTTTATCCAGCTCTACATCGGTCTGTAAACCTTTCTGTGTTCTAACCTCTCTCCATTTTTTTAAAAGCATCTCCAATATTGATATTTTTAGGTCGGGTACAATCACTTCTATCTGAACCACTTCTCTTGTTGGTTTGACCTGATAACTGCTCTCATATCTGACAAACCGAGGGGCGTCCAAAACGGCTGTGGGGGGGTCACCTTAAAACCGCCTACCTTCTCTGGTCCAAACAAATCCAGAGCATTCAGGAGCAGAATCTAAAGTTAGAAGGAGGACATACTGGCTGCTGCATTGTTGTCAGAGAAGCCAGCACTTCAACATAGCATGTTTGCTTAATGTGATGATTTATTTTTTACATATTATTGGAAAAAAAAGCAGCACTGACAACCATCAAGCCTCTAATAATGATATCATTTAAAATTTAAGACAGGAAGTGGATAAGATTACATAATTGTTGTTGAGTGTTAGCTATTTGAAAGGCTCAGCAAATCAGCTAAGGCTATAAATGCGGTAGTACATTGTTTACTACCACCATACTAGTCCCTATACGAATACAAACTAATGAATAAATATAGTTATTATAAATCTATGTGTGTTTTGATTGTTAAATGCAATCATTAGGTCTGACCTTCAGATTGTATTTCCATAATATGGACATGCCTGTATGACTGTACAATACTGAGTAAGTGTATCATCGCCTGTTGTTAAAGACTCTTATTTACGTGACAGGGAATCATGATATATAGTTTCATAATGTAGCTATAAAATAATATCCTCATCATTCCAGCCTCCAAGGACAAAAGCTGTGTGTTGATCACTCTAACTGGAGCTCAATTGTGCCTGTAAGCCACGTCTGAGTCCAATTCTGTCTGATCGTATCAAAATATCAGCCCTATGCTACACTTCTAAATGAATCCTGTGAGTACTGGGTGTGTGTGTGTGTGTGTGTTTGGGGGGTTGTAAGCCTCCGAATCAACACTAAAAATGAATTCACATGTTACCGAGCATCACTCTGCCAGCATGGATTAGTGTGTAGGTCAACATTTCGATGTGGTCATGACCTGGTTGAAATCCAATAACATTACCGATTCATGGTGTCCTCCAACTACGCTTGGCTTCTTTTTCACCCGTGACCACTCAATGTGCTGCTATGTGAGGGGCTTACCATGCAATTTAGCCACAGTGATGAAAACTGACAGGTTGGGCCGGGCTGGGATGCCCGAAAAGGAGACACTGAAGGAGCTGTCCTAAATTACACGGGATAAGCATGTGAAGATTCCGGCGCTGCTTGTGACATGCGGCGGAAAAATCAGGTAGAGGTGCAATGAATACACAACGCCGTCTGCTAAAATTAGTTTGATGAGTTTAATGAATTGAATTGTCTGTTGTGTCATCATGCTTCATTCAAGACGAGTCTGGAGGAAAAATAGTTTTCCTGAGCCTAGTTGCTAAATGGGCCATCTTGCATCTTTTATCTCTGCTGAGATAGTAAAGATAGATAATCTGCTGAAATTTCCTTCATACATATTATATTCAAACTAAATTGTGTTACAGTAGTGTATTCAAACAGCGACAGAGAGCCAAAACAAAACAGAAATAATGGCGGCGGCTATCAAGCAAAGCACTTCAGAACTCTCATTTCAGCCATGATGCAGCAAAAAAATGTGTTAAAATGTCCCGCTTCAGAGTCCTTAACGTGTCCAGAAAGCGCAGGGGAGACTTATTTGTCTGCTCCTTGAGGAGGACTAACTTGAGGACTAACCCTCTTCACTTTAACTCCTCAGCAGGAAGCAAGATGAGGGAGCCTGGATTGAGTTCTGAGGTCCAATCGCCATTTTTCTGAGTTGTTGTCATGACAACAACATAACACTGTCAGTCTCCAGGTCTCTCTCGTTACTCGCTCTACAGCCTACAGTTACCGCCTTAGCTATTCAGAAACTCAACCCTGCTAACCGAGATCTGTAAAGCGGACATTACTTATCATGGGAGCAGCTCGGTCGCTCTTTAAAAAAAAAAAAATCATATTTGTCATTTATCCAAAGTTAAAGTGATGCAGCAATTTTAAACATTCTTACAATTTCAGTCCCTTCCGTTTAAAACTTCCTCCAGATCACTTCATCTTTTTTCTCTCCTTTTCTCCCATCCACACAGCTGGGCTAACTTTTATCAACATGTTACTATAGCAACCAGGCTAAACAGAATCAACCATCTTACACTCACCGTAGTGTTGTTTAAAGCAAGACAAAAACATGAGTTTAGTTTAGTTTGAGTTTTTGCGTAAAAAGTTATTTGATAAGTCGATTAATCATTTCAATAATGAATGACTAGTGGATTATTTAAATCGTGATTAGTTGCAGCCCTTACATCTGATTTCCTGGTCTAAACGGATCTCTGCCTGAAGTTTCTAGAACTGCTGTATTTCTGTGTTTGGTTCATTAGCTCGGCCGAGTCAGGTTTACTGAAGCGGTGAGCATCATGGCCACAGGAAAGATGCTCCTACTACATAAGCATATAAACAAGATGTACCTGTAGTTCATTTTATGGAGGTACTTTTAAAAGGCTAAAAGGAAAAGGCTCTGGGCTGGCAAAGCATCATTAATCTAGCGGTAAAGTGCTGAAGCCGTGGTGAACCTACAGCACCGCTCATTTATCTGCCTCTGCTCAGAGCTGCATGAGAACGCACTCCTCTGAGACGTACTGAGAG